TAAAAATTATAAGGAGCTTTCTTTCTTTCTCTCTTCTTCACACTTCGGTACAACTATTACACTAACTCACTTGCCTTTTATAGGCAAACTTTGCACACATTTCAATGCTATCATTCACACATTTCTAGGATAAGATAATAGTGGAAAATTCAACTTGGTTATAACACTCCCCCTTGGAATTACTACTATTAACTGTGCGTTTATGCTGCCTCGTTAAAAACCTTATCTGGAAAAACCCTGTGGGAAAAAAACCGAGATAAGGAAAAAAGAGTACAGCCGCACATACTCCCCCTAGAATTATCATCCGTGCAAATCCCGAAGATGCCTCATCCCAATATTGTGCACGTGCTTTCGAAATATTGTCGTCGGAAGCGCCTTCGTAAACAAATCTGCTGCATTATCGCTTGATCGGATGTATTGAACTTTGATTTGTTTGTTTCGTTCAAGATCTTGCGCATATAAGAATAACTTTGGCGGGATATGTTTAGTTCTGTCACTCTTGATGTATCCTTCTTTGGTTTGAGCGACACATGCTGCATTGTCTTCGAATATCACCGTCGGATCATTATTGTTCGATAGTCCACTAGCTTGTTGAATATGTTGAGTCATGTTTCTGAGCCAGATACTTTCCCTACTTGCTTCATGAAGTGCAATGATCTCAGCATGGTTTGAAGACGTCGCAACTAACGTTTGTTTTTGGGAGCGCCAAGAAAATGCAGTTCCGCCAATCGTAAAAACGTATCCAGTTTAAGATCTTGCTTTATGGGGATCTGAGAGATATCCTGCATCTGCAAAACCGATTATTTCATGTTTTTTATCGTTAGAGTAAAACAGTCCCAAATCGATTGTCCCTTGGAGATAACGGAATATATGCTTAATTCCATTCCAATGCCTCCTTGTAGGTGCTGAGTTATATCTCGCCAACAAGTTGGTAGCAAAAGAGATATCTGGTCTGGTGCAATTTGCAAGATACATAAGAGCCCCTATTGCACTCATATATGGTATTTCAGGACCAAGTATTTCTTCATCGTCATCACAAGGTCGAAATGGATCCTTTTCGACATCTAATGTTCGATTGACCATTGGGGCACTAAGTGGATTAGCCTTGTCCATATTGAATCGTTTCAGAATTCTTTTAGTGTAATTAGATTGATGGACAAATATCCCATTTTGGACCCGTTCTATTTGCAAGCCAAGACAATATTTGGTCTGTCCGAGATCTTTCATTTCAAATTCGCCTTTTAGTAAAGTGACTGCTTCTTGAATTGAATTTTTAGTCCCAATAATATTAAGATCATCGGCATAGACAGCAATTATCACAACTCCATCTTGTGATCTTTTTATAAAAACACACGGGCATATTTGATTATTTATGTATCCCCGTTTAAGCAATTGTTCACTTAAACAATTGTACCACATACGCCCGGATTGTTTCAAGCCATACAATGATCTTTGCAGTTTTGTCGCACATAACTCTTTAGGTTTGGACTTTAGTACTTCGGGCATTCTAATTCCTTCTGGAATTTTCATATAAATGTCAGCATCTAGTGACCCATATAAGTAAGCAGTCACAACGTCCATGAGACGCATCTCAAGATTTTCATGGATGGCCAAGCTAATCAAGTATCTGAAAGTAATCGCATCCATAACAGGGGAATATGTTTCATCATAATCGATCCCAGGCCTTTGGGAAAATCCCTGTACTACAAGGCGAGCTTTATATCTTGTGATCTCATTTTTCTCATTTCTTTTTCTGACAAAAACCCATCTGTACCCAATAGGTTTTATGTCTTTGGGTATAATGGTTATAGGTCCAAAAACCTTTCGTTTATTAAGCGAATTTAACTCAGCTTGAGTAGCACCTTTCCACTTGTCCCAATCATGTCTTTTCTGACATTCAATCATAGATTTTGGTTCAGGATCCTCAACTTCTTTGTCAATTTCTTGTGATACCATATATGCGAACGCATCATCAATGATCCCATCACGCTTCCAAAGTTTCCCATTATTTACATAATTGATGGAGATTTCAATATTTTCATTTCGTTCCGAAATTTTTCCATCATCTTGATTCTTTTTCAAATTCGAATCTTCAATTTCTCTTTTCTTTCGAGGATTCTTATCTTTAGACCCCACTGGCCTTCCTCGTTTTAAGCGTGCGTTTAACTCATTTGGTATATCGTCATTTGCCGTTTCTTTTGGAATCTCAATTCGAGCAGAGGCATTTATAGCTGCAACATGTGATTTTGTCACCCTTTTTGTATCAATAAATGCATCTGGCAATTGATTTGCAATATTCTGCAGATGTATAATCTTTTGAACTTCTTGCTCTCTTTGTTTGGTGGGAGGATCAAGATATGATAATGATACTGTTCTCCATTCAATATTTTTCTCAATTGACTTTTCATTCCCACCTAAAGGGGGA